CCTGCGTCCTTTTCCAGGGTCCACCAGAGCAGACAGGTCAGGCAGATGCCGGGCTGTGTGTGCAGAAGGGGGGCCCTGGAACCAGACACCTCGACCTGCCTGGGTGGTGGGGGGCGCTTGGCCTCTCTCTTACCAAATGCGGGCTTCAGACGGGGACCGCTGGGGGCCGAGCAGCTGGGCGTTTGGGGGAATCAGACACGCAGGTTTATTACAGGAAATTAAATCCTCTGGAGAAAGCTTGCATTGCCACCGCGTAAGACTGGGCACAGAAAGAAGAAGGACAAAGGATGCACCTTGCCTGTCCCCAGGTAACTCAGGACCCAAGGCAGAGGCTCGACATCAAATCCAATTAAGGAAGAGACGGGACCAGCCAGGGAGGCCCGGAGCGGTGCCAGCTGCTGCCCCAGATCCCGGGGCGGCGCGAGCGAGGGAGGGGATGGGAGCCCAGGGCTCCACGCCAGTGAGCTCTGAGGCTCCTCAGCCCCTTGGCCAGAGAGGCAGGTGGGCCAGCTCCTGGGGAAAAGGTAGAGGAGAAGCCTTGTGAAGATTCCGGGGCTCTGCTAGTGGCAGGAAGGGTGGGCAGGGACTAGGGGGTTTCAGGAACACAGGAGAGGGAAGAGGGCAGGGGGATGGTCAGAGGGAGGAGACGAGGTCGGGGGATGACGAAGGGATCAGAGGATGAAACCCGGCTCCAGGCTCTACCTCAGCTCTGACCCAGGAGGTTGGTGGGGGTGTCACATGGCGCAGACCCCGGCAGGGCCAGTGGTAGGATAGACAGCCGCAACCAGGACGGAGCCCAGGAACCATCAGCCAGGTGCCTCCAGCCAGCCTGCTGAGGAGGATGGAGCAGCAGAGCTGAGCGTGTAAGCAGATGACCCGGAGGAGCCCTGCCGTCTGCGGGTCTCCACCGGAAGGAACCTCTCACGGAGGAAATCAAGCCACGTGGTTTCCGGGATAAACTTGCTTTAAAGAAGGGAGTGATGAGTGGCAAGTCTTCAGAAGAATCCAAGATCAACAGCAGGTCTGCATGCCCAGGAGGCATGCAAAGGATCCCTGGAGAGATGCGGCCAGGCCAGGCAGAAGCCCCCAGAGCTCACCTGACCCAGCCGTCCCCACCGGGGAGACCCAGGAGGGCTGGGAAGAGCCCAGGTCACTCGGTGGGACCAGGGCAGAGGGGGGCCTGGCGCCTAGGAGTCCTGAGTCGGCTGGGACGTTTTCTTCTCTGACATAACCTCGCTGTCTGCAAACCCACCACCTCCGGGAAGCCGGGGAGGACGGGCAAGGGAGGGGCTTCAGGGGAAGCCTGGTGGCGTGGAGACAGACAGACTGGACTGATGCGGGGCACGGACAGGTCGGTTCAGAGGCTGACAGAGGAGGCAGACGTCGCTCCCACCCGCTCACCCCACAGCCCGAGGATAAAAAGTCCGGTCCTGTGGTACAGCTTCTTCCTAACCCCGAGGGAATGCTGGTTACACCCTCCTCACATGAGGAGTCCCTGTATAGGGTTATCTCTTCGCATCGTTACTCACATGGGATTTGGGGGGTGGGAGGAGGAGGGGGCATGACTTGAGACCAGAGTGGGCACGGCCACCTTAAAATTAACTTGTTAATAAATCCTGCGCAAAAAACAAACACAAACAAAAACCAGAAACGAGCAAGCCTCTACCACTAGGTGAAGTACGCGGTTCAGGTATTCATTTGTACACACGGCGGTGGACGGCAGGGGGGTGAGGAGCAGGAGGAGGGCCATCGAGGTGGCAGGGCGCTCAGAAGTGCGTCTCCTTCTCTGTAATGGCTGCAACGGTCCCATCGCCCTTGAGTTTGGCGTCACAGTCATTAACCGCCACCGTCCGTGGGCCTGCCCCAAGCGTGCCCCGCATTTTCAGGTCGGCGCTGGGGATCATCAACTTGCGGAATCTCTACATGGTTGGAGAGGAAAAGAGTTGTCTGAGAAGAGCGGTTGTTGGGGTCCCCGGGGGGCCTGCCTCGGTGCCTCCCAACTGCACGGCAGACACCTCGGGGGGTGGGGGGTGCTGTGGAAACGGCAGGCCGGGCTTGGAGCTCTGCCCTGGGCGATGCGTCGGCCTGGAGATCTGTTTCCCGCCCCCATCCCGGGACATGGGAACCTCAGGGTGCCAGTGCTGGATGAGGAAGGAGACAATGAGCGGAGCTGCCCGCCCTGTACCTGGCCCGCTGCAGGAGGCCAGGACGCAGGAGCTGTACCCAGGCCGTATCCTTCCTTCCTGGGCAGGCCGACGCTGGGCTCTGAGTCCCTCTTGGCCTTGATACGTGTGAGGCCAGTCACCTAACGCCACTGCGCCGTGCTGTCCCACCTGTGAGATGGGCCAGCAGTTCCTCCTGGGGACTCTGATGTGAGGGTGAGCACCTCCGGGGCCATCTATACAGTGGTCTCTGCATAAATGGGTATGTTTCCCATAGAAGGCCATCATCATGCCCGTCATCCCCGTCTAGGGAATAGGAGGTGTGTGTCTGAAGATGGAAACGTTCTTGCTAAGGCCTCAACCCCACAGAGTGGCTGGCAGACAGGGTGCTGGGCGGATGGGGTGGCCATCATCTACTCTACCCCTGACACATGCTCCTCCCGCCTTGATCCTGCCGGGGCACCACCCCCCACCCCCACCTCAGCCTCATGTGCACCTCCAGAAGATGTCAGGTCAGGATGTGGGAGGTCCTTCCTGGGCTCTTTCCCCAAGAAGGCTGGAAGGACTTTGGCGTGCTGGTTTCTTACGATCAAGGTCCTGTTTCCATGGTCAGATCCTGCCACGCCTAATAGGCTGGGCCTATTCTGCCCAAGAGGGATTAACAGGCAGGACGCCCCTCTTCCCCCATAATACCATCATGCTGAGCATCTCCTAGGTGCCAGGCAAGGCGCTAGGATCTTGACAGAGGACAGGAGCTGGGAGCATGGGCTCTGGAGCTGAGTGCCTGGGCTGGACTCCCAGCTCCACTGCTTCACTGAGGCAAGAACTTAACCCTCTGCATCTCGGTCCCTCATCTGTCAAAGAGGTTCACAGCAGCACCCGCCTCGAGCGTCGTTTTCCTGAGGTGTCCTCAGATTTGCTGACCTGTGCATGGCTCTTAGCACAGACTACCTGCCCTCAGAGCAACTCTCTGACCCCCATCTTTCCTTCCAGATCCTTCCCATCAGCTGGCAGAACCTTCTGGAAATGCCTGCATGTGTCTTCAGTCATGTCCGACTCTTGACACCCTACAGGCTTGTAGCCCACTAGGCTCCTCTGTCCATAGGGTTCTCCCAGGCAAGAATACTGGAGTGGGTTGCCATTTCCCTTTCCAGAGGATCTTCCCAACCCAGGAATAGAACCCGCATCACTTACATTTCCTGCACTGGCAGGCAGGTTCTTTACCACTAGCGCCACCTGGGAAGCCCTTCTGGAAATGGAGGGACATGAACTCACTGGCAGGGGCCAGCCGGGGCCAAGGTATTTGGGCTCCAGGGCAGCTCTCCTCTGGACACGCCTGGTCCCAAGTCAGAATCAACAACTGCCCTTGTCCTACATTCCCTGCAGGAGCGGAGGACTCGGCCTTGCTCTGGGGGCAGGAGCAGGCTGGAGAAAGGGACCTTCCCTCTCGGCTTGCTCCCGGGACCTGGCCCAGCTCTCCCCTGGGTGGACAGGAGGGCTGGCTGGAGCTGACTCTGGGCTGGTGCGTGCCTTGTGGGGCATCGGCACACAGGCCATGTCTGTGAGACACAGCTCAGCCCCGAGAACCCCGGGCGCTGCACTGGGGCCGGAGCCAGGCAAGGGGTATGCGGCACGAAGGCCCAGCCTCAGGGGGCCTGCTCCAGCACACCAAGGCTGCGTGCCCTGGGGTAACTGGCTTCCCCTCTCTGCTCAGCTTCCTCACCTGTGACATGGGGACAGGAAGCACCTCCACCTCACAGGACAGCTATGAGGACTTGGCAACCTACTGACTGTCGACGGCTTAGAGCAGCGTCTGGCACAGAGCACGCGGTTAGCAAAAGGGGCGTGAAGCTGACTCAGACCTCCTGATCCCCCAGCAGGTGGGAAAGGAGCGTGAAGAGAGACAGGGTGTCCGGGCTGTGACGGGCCGGGGCCCAAATTCACTAAACAAGCAGGAGAACATGGACAGCACGATTTCACTGGCAGGAAAATGCCCAGAAGAAGCATATACAGAGAGATTTCTGGGTGTCTGGGGCTTAGGACAGGGCTTACGGAAACAGGCACTGGGAATCTTATGAATGAATAAGAATATATGCAAATAAATAAATAAAAATGTTTGCAAATGGATTTATGGTGATGACAGCATGACACAGAACATTGCTAGAAAAAATACGCCACTGAATTATATCAGAAATGGGTGAATTTTATGATACAGAAAACATATTTCAATAAAATTGTTGAAAATGGTCAGTTTGCTAATTCTTGGTGGTCTGATCCTAGGCGAGTGACTGAATTTCTCTGAGGACAGAGGAGATGCAGAACAGAGAGAGCTCTGCACGAGGACGGCACAGGACAGATGCCCCCAGGTGTCAGACTCTCTCCCTGTGCCCTTAATGAACGGGATCAGCAGAACACCAAGAGCCGACACTTGGCCCCTCTCTCCCCCAAGTCCTGGCTCAAGTGCTGTCCCTCTATGCACTCACTGAGTCCTCAAACAACCTCTGTAAGTGAGGGACTACTGCTGACCCATTTTACAGATGGGAAAACCGAGGCTGAACGCAGGGGAAGCAGCTCAATCTCCAGGCCTCAGCACAACAGTACTGATGAACCCCTGCCATGGAGGAGCTGGCCAGCCTTCCCCAGGAGACACGTTGGGGTACGTTCTCATCACGCCCGTGGCCCAGATGAGGAAGCGGGGACCCAGAGACTCCCGTGGCCACACTCACACTCACCAGCACAGCCCTTCTAGCATAGCCAGCCCTGCCCTGTGTCACACTCCCCCCCGCCCTGCCCCACTTCCCAGCCACCCTCACTGACCTCTCCTCCCAGGCTGCTCACCTCTGGCAGTGTCCCCTCTGTCTTCCACACCTTGATGCAGACCCAGACCGGGATGCAGAGCATGGAGGACAGGGCCATCAGCCAGCCGATGCCATAGCCCCAGGGGGGGTAGGTGTACACGTTGTTGTACTTGAGGGGCTTGTATTTGACCAGGAAGAAAATGAAGATGCCCTGCAGAGAGATGGGGAGAGGTCCCTGGGATGGCCCTCAGCCTGGCTGCGGGTAGCCGGTAGGGGAGATGGTCGATCCTGCGCGGTGGCCTCGGAGAGGTGGCATCCTGCCTGTCCACAGCGAGAAGCACAGGGAACAGACCCCACAGGTCCCAGGAGACCCGCCTCGACCCCCCAGGAGCCTGATCTCCAGCCTCCAAATAGTCAGAAATTTTAACTTTTTTTTTCCAGCTACTTCTCAGGGCTGGTTTCAAAGCTGACTTTCAAAACTAAGATGGTTGGTGAAGATGCTCTGAGATACTTCCAGTGCCAAGGACTGGGTGAAGAGCAGCGGTTTTGTTTCTTTAATTAAACATCCTTTCACCAAGGCCTCTCCGCAGTTTGGTCTGAGGGGCAGAGCGTGAGCCTCTCCTTACCCTCAAGCTGTTGCTTCACTGTTAACAGCAGAGCCAGATGTCTTTCATGGGACCCTCAGCCCCCATGGAGGTGGGTGCCATCTGCCCGGGCTGCGGGTTTAGAATCTGAGGTCCCAGGAAGAGAGGTGACTTGCTCACTGTCACACAGCAAGCTGGTGGCATGACCGGGGTCCTAGTGAGGCCTCCTGGCCCAGCCCAGAGACTGTTCCCCAAAAAAACACTAGCTTGTAAACGTGTCAGTTGCCTTGGACTTCTGAGTGCACAGAGGGTCCCCCAGGGGGACATCACCTCCTCAGTTTTGGCCTCAGTCAGGCCTGGGCTCTGGGGTGGAGAAGTGGGCGGGGGGTGGAGAAGTAGGGAGTGGTGGGCTGCAGGCGGCTCCTGGCATCACCCTTACCGCACAGATCCCGGGGGTCACGACTTTCCAGCACCATTTAATGAGTGACAACGGCCGGTAGCCAATCATGTCTTCGATGTTATCATAGAAGCGGTTGCTTCCTGTCCAGAATAAAGCAGATGGGCACATACACCCCAGAGAATTTCTGTACAAGACTCAGAGGAAAGGCGATGAGTGTCTGTTTTCCCCAGCCGGAGACAAGTTGCGGCAGGGACCCTACTTGCTGCTTAAAAACTACCAGGGTGTTAGCTATGTGCAGCGTTAGGATAAACTGTGGTGGAAGGGACTCTGAAGAGACCCCTCCTGACTCAGGCGGTGAGGCCCAGGACATAGTCAGGAGTTTCTGGGGAAAAGGTGGAAGGTGGTCACTCTGAGCGGGGTCAGGCTGGCTGACCTGCTGGGGTGGGGTGGGGGTTGGGGCTCAGATTTTAGGGCTGGTGGGGGTCTGTTCACAAGCCCAGCAACTCTCATCTGCTCACTCAGTCTGGGGAACAGGAAGGCCGAAAGGCGGGTGCTAAGGGCCGGTCACTGGGCTGGCTGGTGTGTCTCTACCCCCTCCTACCAGGAGCGACGGTGAAGACTACTCCATTATACAGATGGGAAAACTGAGCCTCGGGGGCAGAAGGATGGACCCAAGGTTACAGTGCCTGAGCCTGGAACCCCTCCCTGTACTGCAAAAGGGTATATAAGCAGTAGGGTCTTCCAACAGGTGGGAGAACCCAAGATGTGCCTGAGGGTAAGAAGTTGATGGAGATGGAGACGGGCTACAGGGAAGCCCAGCCCACCCAGGTTCCGGGCACTGCGGGGTGGTGGGCTCGGCCTCCACTCACCATACACCCAGCCGATGCAGATGCACTCGAAGATGGCCACAAAGAGAAGGCACATTCCGCTGGCGGCGTAGGAGTCAAAGAGCTGGAAGATGTACATACCGCCCTGCGGGGTGGGAGGCCAGACACGGGGAAGAGGGACAGACAGACACATGGGAGAGCAGGGTTAGCCAGCTCTCGGCGAGGGCGCCCCGCCCTGTGGTCACCTACCACCCTGGAGTCCCGGCCACTAGGGCAGACTGGTCTCTCCAGCATTCTGAACGCCACACCCACCACGGCTGGGCCCCCTGAGACCACGCTAAGGGGCTGCTGGGATCGCAGAGGTTTGTCTTGCCTCTGCTCCCTGGATGCCAGACACAACAGAAAACTGGAGACTGGAGGCCGGGCAGGCTCAGCACCTCCCTCCAGGAGGCTGTGACGGCCTCCCCACAGGCCTCCCTGCCTCTAGTCTCGCCCTCTCCTACGTGTCCACACCGCAGAATGCGTAGGTCCTGCCTCGTGTGGTCATGAGGCCGGGGCTACTGGTGTCCTCAGTGCTCACGCGGGGAAGCCGAGGCCAGGGGTGGTGAGAACACGCCCCACCGGTCACCAGAGGTCACCCACCGTGGGCCTGAGGCCCAAGCGTCCAGCTGCAGGGCCTGAGACCTTCCCCGCCCACCGCCTCACCTCCGTGGAAGAGCAGATATTTGCAGACTATTTTTCCCCAAGAGCAGAGCTTTAAATGTGTTTAAATGAGGGAGAAGAGACCCTCTGAGCAATTACTGAATCTGCCATGGCCCATTTGGCAGGTTCCCGTTGTGGTCACTCATAGACACGCCTCCGCACAGGGCAAAGGTGGGTGTATGGGGCCTGAGTGTGTGCTGATTCCCCATCCAGGGCAGGCAGAGCGCTGGCTCCCTGATGGGCTCTGTGATCCAGGGTACCAGGGCTGGCCAGCTGGCGTCCAGGAGAGCTCTCCAGCGACCTGCCTGCTGCAAGCCGAGAATGCCCACGAATGCCTGCTTTTCCTGGAGCCCCACCAGCCTCTTGAAGGCATCAGGTAACCCCCCAATTTGTGCGTGACAAAAGACTCTACTTTGTGTAATTAATCAGCACTTAATGAGGCCCTGCTCACTGGCTGTGTGGAGAGAGGCAGGGGGGAAATGTGGCACCATTCATTTGCTCAAATGCTGATTATCACTCCCATTAATGTGACAATGACTAGGAGCAGGAATTATACACCCCGGGCCAGGCCCCAAGGGCACAGGACAGATCAAGGCCGGCTCCTGTTCTTGAGGACTTTGGGGCCTGGTGGGGCAGGTGAACAGACAGGTCACTGTAATGTCCAGATGGAGACTGGACCAAGCTTAGATTGAAGTCCTGAGTGGGAAGGAAAGCAGAGGAGGCTTCCAGGAGGAGGTGGCTTTTTTGAGTTAAGAGGCAGAGAATGACGAAGATCAGCAGTCTGACCTCAGTACCACGTCAGCTGCTTTGACAGATTCTGAATTCCCTCACTTTTCCCATGTTCCTTACAAAACCCCTTTGTGTCTCCTGGCAACAGTTTTCTGGTTATTTGGAGGGGGAGAGTGGCTTGGTTTGTAAAATTAATTAATTTTGTGAGTGTGGGTAAAAAGATACCTAATTTCGCCTTCCCAAGTTACTTAAGAAATTATCTATTAGGATGCTACGGGAGGGAAGGGAATCATGGCTTTATGAGACAGTCTGAATTTGGGGGTGTGATGAGCCCCTCCCTGCCCACAGGCCTGGCAGAGACAAGAGGGGACATGCAGAAGGTGGGAGTTGGAACACCGCCTGAAGGTGTCCAGTTTCCTCAGTGATGAAGCCTGTTCTGAACTTGAGGACACTGAAAGTCCCTAGCTGAGGGTTATCCGGCAGACACTGCCTCCTTCACTCAGAAGTTTTACTGAAAGGGGTAGCGGGGCATCTGGGTGCTCATGGGCTTAGTTGCTCAGTGGTGTCTGACTCTCTGCGACCCCATGGACTGTAGCCTGCCAGGCTCCTCTGTCCATGGGGATTCTCCAGGCAAGAATACTGCAGTGGGTTGCCACGGCTGCTCATAATGACCAGGTAAACCCAGCCTTTCTCATTGTGACTTTTATTCCTTCTGGTGATGGAGACCTGGAGCTGAGCACTTATACAAGTGCTGAATGAGAACTTCCATGGAGTCTCACGATGACCCATTACAAACACGAGAACACAGAGTCCCCGAGAAGTGCCAGACCTGGAGGCAGGGTCACCCAGCCAGTCAACGTCAGAGCTGGGACGTGATGTCAGATCCGCCTAACCCAAACGTGTCCATGCTAAGTCACTTCAGTCGTGTCCGACTCTTCACAGCCTCATGGACTGTAGTCCACCAGGCTGCTCTGTCCATGGGATTCTCCAGGCAAGAATATTGGAGTGGGTTGCCATGTCCGCCTTCAGGGGATCTTCCCGACCCAGGGATCAAACTCTCGTCTCACGTCTCCTGCACTGGCAGGCAGGTTCTTTACCACTAGCGCCACCAAAGCCCAGGCACTTACCCCTCATGTTACCCTGTCCACATCACTTACCCGTGTGGCTGTCACTCACCTCTGTTAACATCACAAGGCCCAGAAAGTAGGAGGTGACCGACAGGGCCAAGATGAGCAGCTCCCGCCGATAGCCCCTCCGGAAGACCTTGGGGTACATGTCTACCACGGCGGTCACCAGGCTCTCCACGCACACAAACTGGACGGGGCAGAAATGATGGTGCGAAGCTCCAGAGAAAGGCCATCAGAGGCCCTGGCTCCAGGCAGGCACAGCAGCCCTAAAGCCTGGGCTTCCCTCCCCGCCGGGCCTCACCTTCATTCCCACACTTCCTCACCCTGATGGAGGACCCAAGAATAACAACAGTATCCCCCGTGCTTACAGAATGCCAGCAGGCCCATTCAACACAAGAGGACCCTGAGGCTCAGAGAGGGGAGGTGACCAGCCCAAAGTCTCTCAGCAAGGAAGCAGCAGAGTCAGGCCTTGAGGTGAGGTCTCCTGACTCTAAAGCTAGAATTCCTTCTTCTTTATGCTGCCAGTCACGTGCCCATGTGCTGGGCCTTGTTCTGGGGTGGATGAAATAAATGAGATCCAGTCTTGGCCTGGGAAGCGAGATGGCAGTCTGGGTAACTGTCTTGAGAGCTGAGGGCTCTGGTCAGTCTGTGGGGGCCTGACTTACTTCATCCTCCAGGCCTGAGACAGAGCCCCTGCCCTTTGCTTCAGGTGGGCGGGTGGCCTTCTGCTGGGGGTAGGGCAATCAGGGGAGCTAATGCCCAGCTCTTGTGTTTGGGCTGGGCAAATTTAGATGGCAGAGCTTGAGCCACTATGAATGTGTGTCCCACCATGCTGAGACAGGGCCAGGTGTGAGATCAGCCACATTCCTACTCAACCCTCAACACCCAGACCCAACAGCCCAGCATATCCCGCACCCCCTCCCCGAGTTCTCCCAGCACTGTGGGCAGATCTCCTGCATAAGCCTTTTCCTGACTGCTTCTTCTTGCCCTCAACTTGAGCAGAACAGACCCCAGCCCCTATTCCAGGCTCAGTCCATACCCCTCATCTGTGGGGTCCATGCTTGCTCAGATCTGTCTCCTTACAAAAAGGTGAGACCCTGGAAGGCAGGGGCCATGTCACTGACATCTACTTCAAGTGGCACAGAGCAGATGCTCAGAAAATGTTTGATAAATGAATAATAACAACAGTGGTGAACACATGGTGCTTGTTGTGTGCCAGGCTCAGTTCTATGTAGTTAACAGATGTTAATTTATTTAATCTCTATGTATTAAGTTCTACCATTGTCCCTTTTTTGTAAAGAAGACACAGAAGTATAGTGGTGTAAGTAACTTGCCCTGAGGTCACAAAGGTCTAACATTTTAGGGCCTGAATTTGAACTGGGCAATCTTGTTCCAGAGGCTGGGCTGTCACTACCGTGGGGCACTGGGAGGTCATTATTTGGGGGCACCCCCGTCCCTGGAGCCACTGCTTGGCTCCATGTCCTTTCTGGTCCATGTCTATCTCCCCAGGGAAGGTATTTCCATCCTCATTGTGGAAAGGGACTGCAGCACAGCCCAGAGTCACACAGCTGTCAAGAGTTGGGACTTAAACTCAGTCTAGACTCCAACGCTCAGGCTCCTGGCCTCCAGGCTGTCCTGTTTCTAGGGGAAGACTAGCTGTGCTTGTCCTTTCTCTAGGGTCCCCAGGTAAAGGAAGGGGACTCAGGGGACGCTGTTGATCCAGCACTTAAACTGAAGAGGCATCAGAGCAGATGGTCTACGCAGTGCAGAGACCTCGGTGCATATCCCTTCAAGTCACTTGGCCTTTCTGAGCCTCAGTTTCTTCCTCTGTAAAATGGGGATAACAGAAGGCGCCCCCTCCCCCAGGCCATATGGTTATCATGATTGAAAACTGAGGACACAGCCCAGGCACACTTGGGGATGGTCTGAGCAGCCACCCTCCTCCCTGGGGCCCTAGGCGCCCTTTGCAAACAGAGTATCTCAGCCCTAGTGCTGGTCTGGCTCAGCCCAGGGGCTCGCAGAGCCCAGGCCTGGCCCCCACACCCCTCTGCGGAGACAGGCCTGTCACTGTCACACAAGCTGCTGATCCCTCCTGAGGCCTCTGCTGTGACAATGGAGGGACGGTTATCAGCAAAAACACCCGGTTGCTTCTGCAGCTCAGCTTAGCAGTTTCTGAGAAACCATCCAGGGGAAGAAATAGGACTTGGCTGGATTGACAGACACACCAGCCACGGGGCCTGGATGCTGCGTGACTCGCTCAAGGTCACAGGTAGGGTGGCAGGGAGCACCTCGCCAAGACACCCCTGTCTGAGGGCCTCAGAGCGCCTGGCTTTGGCTGGAAGACCTTCTCTGGGGCTCTTAGGAAGGCCAGCCACAGTACAGCAGCAGGGCCAAGGGTTGATTTCTGGAGATGAAGAGAGACTGGAGGCCACAGGATTCCAGCAGGAAAACCAGAGAGGGGATTGAAAGAGGGTGGGAGAGTGGGCGGGGGCGAAAAGATGTAAGTACACACATTTGCGTTAACAGAAAGGAAAATGTGAACACATAAATTGTTAGTTCTAACTCCACATCCTTCACGGAGGAAGGCAGGCTGCAAGTTGGGGTGGGTCTGGGAGAGGCAGGAGAACAGAGGCGGGTGGGGGTGGGGTGTGGATGTGGGGGTAGCGGGAGCTTGTGGTGGTACCCACGACCCACCCAGGTGGCCACCTGGGGCATGTCATGGGGGCTCCGATGTGGAGATCAAGGAAGGAAGCAGATGCTTTTCTGTGTTCCCAGGTCTTTTATGACCTGGTTGGTCCCAACTGGCCAGAACCAGGATGTGGTGTGCAGGCCCCAGATCTGTTCCTGGGAGCAGCACCTGCCCCCCGCTGCCACTGCCGCTTGGGGTCCCCGCTTACCTGGCTGTCCAGGCCCAGGAAGATAAGCATCATGAAGAACAAGGCAGCCCAGAGAGGGGAGAGAGGCATCATGGTGACGGCCTTGGGGTAGGCGATAAAGGCCAGGCCAGGGCCTGGAGAGGAAGCAGAGAGAAGGGGCTGAGTGGAGTTCAGTGCCTCATTCAATTGCTATCTAAATTGTTCATCTAAAATGGACTAAATGTTTCTTTTGTGCCAGGTACTGTGCTGAATTCTTCCTTGAATCACGTATATCTCACAGCCACCCCATGCTCCTGGTTCTACGAGGATACCCATTGTACAGATGAGCAAGATGAGGCAGAGAGAAGGAAGCAAGTATCTGGAAGGGTCAAGATTCAAGCCCAGGTTAGTCTGACACCCAGACCCTCCTCTGCATAGACATGACTCTATTCTTACTGGGGTAGGTGAGGAGAGGTGGTGGTGGGAGGCATTCTTATTAAACTGCAGGTTCTCAGGCCCACCGAGAGATCCTAATTCAGTCAGTCTAGGGTGACAGAAGGACCAATGACTCCTATGTAAGTAATTAGGAGTCAGGGCTTGGACAAATGATGGTCCACCCAGACCACCTTCTCCTCTGAGCTTCTCATCTCCCAGGTCCACACTCACTTCCCTTGACTGCTCCCAATAGGGGGCTTGATAGCACAGCCTCAGGATGGGCTTTATTACTGTCAAGGATGGGAGTCCGATGTTCTAGCCCTGCAGCACAGTGGCCAAGGGTTCAAATCCCCATTCTTTACTGTGAGCTCTACCCTTGTCTCCTCAGGTAGAAAATGGGAACAAGGGATTCCTACCTAATAAGGCAGTTGGCAGAGTTCAGTGGGATGATGCGAAAATATGGAAAGCACTTAAAAAGGTAAATGTTCAGGAGACAGTTATCCTGATTATCTTCTACCTTAAAAAACAGCCTTATTAAAGGCTAATTTACCTATCATAAGTGTTTATTTTAAGTGTATAATTCAATGAGCTTTGAAAAGTGGAGGCGCCCAGATAACCATCATTGCAGTGAAGACAGAGAACATTTCCTCCACCCTCTGGTTCCCCTCTCAGTCTCCCCACCCTCATTCCCTGTCTTTGTACTGGGCAACAACTGATCTTTTTTTTTTTTTTTCACCTTAGATTAGCTTTGTTCATCCTATCTAGGAGGGGAATTACCAGGTCATATGGGAATCATATGTTTAATTTTCTAAGAAATGCCAAACGGATTTCCCAAGTGACTCTGTCATTTTACATTCCTACCAGCAACAATTGAGAGTTTCAGGGGCTCCACATCCTTGTCAACACTTGATGTTGTCAGTCTTTTAAATTTAGTCATTATAGTGGGTATGAAGTGTTATATCATTATGTTTTTAATTTGTATTTCCTTGATGACTAACAATGTGAAGTATCTTCACATATCTTTATTGTCCATTCATAAATCTTTTTGTTGTTTACTTAAAATTTTTTATTTATTTATTTATTTTCTGCCCATGTTGTGACTTGCAGGATCTCAGTTCCCCAACCAAAGACTGAACCCAGGTCCTCAGCAGTGAAAGCAAGGAATCCTGATCACTGGACCATCAAGGAATTCCCTACATATCAACATCTTCTTTTGTGAGGTGCCTCCTGTGTTCTTGCCCATTTTCAGTTGGGTTAGCTCCTTTTTATTGAGTTGTGAGAATTCTTAATATATTTGGGATACAAACCCTTTATGAAACAAAAGAATTATGATTATCTTCTCCAAGTCTGTCACTTACCTTTTCATTTTTAAATTACATTTTGTGAAAAGCAGAATATAAAAATTTCCCAATTGTTTGTTGTTGGTATAAAAAAATACCAAAGATTTTTTATTGTCTTTCTATCCTGTGACCTTACTAAATTCACTTAGTAATTTTTTTTTTGTAGATTTCTTAGGATTTTCTATGTAGTCAATCATGTTGTTTATGAATGAAGACAGTTTTTATTCTTCCTTTATAATCTTAAATATTTTCACTTTTTCTTGCCTTATTATACTCTCTAGGAATTTCAGTACGATATGGAACATGTTTTGAACTTTGCAATGTTCAGTCAACATACCGCTTCCTGAAATTCACTTTTGTTAGCTCTTTTCTTTCCCATTCTTTTCAGAATGATTGCATTATGCATTTGTAATACAGATAAGTTCATTCATTACTATTTGTATTACATTTGGTTCCACCCACAAAAAAGTAACTATTTGTCTTGGGTGCTCCGTGAAACACTACTGTGGCTCTCAGTCAGAGCAACTAAAGATAAATACTCAGAGAAGGTGTTCTTCCTTCTCCTTACTTCTTAATTCCTCACCTTTTTCTATGCCTTTTCCACCCACCACTGTTTAATTTTAAAACTTTTATGCACACACCTATTTAAAAAAATATCCTTTAATTTCCATTTACTTGATTAATTTTTATAGTGAATGAATGTTGAATTTTTCAAAGACTTTTTCCGCATCTATGGAGATAATTTTATGATTTACTTTGTTTGGACTATTAATATGGTGTGTGATATTAATTGCTTCCTTAGCATTAAATCAATCTTCCTTTTATTCCTGGAATAAATCTTACTTGGACATGGTATATTACCTTCTTAGTATGATTTTGGATTCTAATATTTTAGATTTGAGTTTGCTGATATTTTATTTGGTATTTTGGCGTCAATATGCATGAGTGATATTAATCTGTAGTTTTCTTTCTTGGCATTGTCTATTTGGTTTAGGTTTCAATACTATGTGTTTCAGATAATGAATTAGCAAAGTTTCCTCCCTTGTCAATAATCTGGAATAATTTATGGGACACTGGGCCTATCTTATCTGGTCTCAGAGGTTTGGTAGAATTCCTCTGAGAAGCCATCAGGGCCTGATGCTTTCTTGTGAGGTTGTTCTTCAGTAACTTTGTCTGTTTCTTCTGTGGAAACTGGCCTGCTTAAGCTTTCTAAGTCAAATGGGGTCAGTTTTAGCAATCTCCATTTCCCTAGGAAAATATTCATTTCATCTAGGTTTTCAAATTTATATGCAAAGAGGATTGCAAAGTAATCTCTTATGATTTTAAAAAATGTCTTCTGCTCCAATGGTTATTTCCCCTTTATAATTTCTTATTTTGCTATTTGTATGTTCTTTACCGCCCAACTTCATTTCCCACCCCCCCCCTCCTTGATCATCTGGTGATTTGCCTATTTTTATTTTGAAAAACCTAGAATTTTAATTTATTATTTAAAAAAAAAACCCAGTTCTCTACTTCATTACTTTCTGCTTTTTATTATTTCCTTCCTTGAGCTGTCTTTTAGTTCATTTTGTTGCTGTTATTAGTTTTCTGAACAAGGAATGTAATTGTTTTCATTCCTGCACTTTTATTGATAAATGTGTTTAGTAAAGTTCTTATTGTTAGTTTATTTCTATGTCCCCTTGCTTTGTGTGCAGTTTTTTCCTTCATAAAGATTATTGTTGTGTTATTCGCTGCATACATTTGTGTGTGTGTTATATCTTCACTGTGAATTGTGGTTTTAACATTAAAAAGTATTATCCTTTGTCATCCTTAATGCATCCTTAATCTGTCTTCATTTATAGCCTTTGTGAGTCACCTTGTCTTGGGTGTGTCTCTTAAATACAGAATAGATAAGCACATCTCAGAGATGTTGGAGGTTGAGCTCCAGACTACCGGCACAAACTGAGCATCACAGCACAGAGAGCCACATGAATTTTTCGGTTTCCCGGCAAATATAAAAGTTATGTTTACACTATAGTCTACTAAATGAACAATACCAGTAGGTCCAAGAAAAGGTATATACATTAATTAAAAAATAGTTTATTGCTGAAGAATGCTAACCATCATCTGAGTCTTCAGTGAGTCGTAGTCTTTTTGCCAGGGGAAGGTCTTGCTGTGATGTTGATGGCTGCTGACTGATCGGGGTGGTGGTGGCCGAAGGTTGGGGCGGCTGTGGCAATTTCTTAAAATAAGACAAGAATGAAGTTTGCGGCCATCGATTGACTCTTCTTTTCACAAGTGATTTCTCCGTAGCATGCAGGGCTGTTGGATAGCATTTTTATCCAGAGTAGAACTTCTTTCAAAGTTGGAGTCAATCCTCTTAAATTCCGCTGCTGCTTTAGCAACTATGTTTACTGTTATCAGTTGCTCAGTCATGTCTGACTCTGTGACCCCATGGGCTGTGGCATGCCAGGCCTCCTTGTCCCTCACCATTCCCCAAAGTTTGCTGAAGTTCATGTCCATTGCATCATGATGCCATCCAGCCATCTCATCCTCTGACACCCTCTTCTCCTTCTGCTCCCAATCTTTCCTAGCATCAGGGTCTTTTCCAATGAGTCAGCTCTTCGCATCAGGTGGCCAAAGTATTGGAGCTTCAGTGTCAGTCCTTCCAATGAATATTCAGGGTTGATTTCCCTTAGGACTGACTGGTTTGACCTCCATGCTCTCCAAGGGACTCTCAAGAGTCTTCTCCAGCACTTTTGCTGTCATTTCAACAAAGTTCACAACATCGTTACCAGTAGTATATTCGATCTCAAGAAACCGCTTTCTTTACTCACTCAAAAAAGCAACTCCTCATCCACTAGTTTTAATAATAATTTAGAAGTTTGAAATACTTCTAAGTTTGAGAATTACCAAAATGTGACACTGAGACATGAAGTGAGCAAGTGCTGTTGGAAAAATTGTGCTGGTAGACGTGGCTTGATGCAGAGTTGCCACAAACCATGAGTTTGTAAAAAATTAAAAAATAAAACAAGTGAAGCACAATAAAACACGGTATGCCTATGCATAGGTCTTACTTTGTGAGTCACATTGAAAATCTTTTTCTTTCAATAGACGAGTTAAGGTCATTCACCTTTACTGACAAGACTGATACATTTGGTCTTGACTGACAATATATAATTACGTATACTTTATATGTATATGAGTTGTGTATTCTGTTTTTTTTTTTTAATTATTATTTAGGAAGGCTTATGTAGCTATTTTGGTAGCTCAGTGGTTTAAAAATATGCCAATGCAGGAGATACAGGTTTGGTCCTTTTTTTTGGTCTGGGAAGATCCTCTGGAGAAGGAAATGACAACTCACTCTAGGATTCTTGCCTGGAGAAGCCCATGGACAGAGG